CAAAGCCTGCAATATTCTAAACAGACATTAAAACTTAAGAAAAAAATTTAAAAAGAAAAATAATGCATAAAAAAATGCAGTGTCAATTAAAGTGATAATGCTGTGATATATTAAATCACATATCTGCTATATGAAAAGTATAATTAAAGTGACATTACTGTCCAAAGCCCCCTCACATCTATTTTATAGAATCTATACTTTTTTGTGGTCACCTCCAAAGAAGCCTCTGAAATTGGGGGGCTCAGAGGGGTGCTCATCCCAAAAGAAATCAGATTCCAGACTTAATTTTTTTTTAAATAAATAAATGATAGAAAAGGAATCACGGGAACACCCAGAACATGCATTTTTGTATATAATCTTAATTTGCAGATATTTTATGCCTTAAAGACATATAAAGGATATTTAATTAAATATGCAGGTATCTTTAAAAATTAAGCAAAGTTAAAAAAAATAAATAAAAAAAATAATAATAATAAAAAATTTATTTTACACCACAATATAAACAGCTTTGTTAAACAGATTTAAGTACAAGTACTTATGTCAAGAAATATACAGAATACGTTTACAACAGGCAGGTTTAGCATAAATGCAAAGTTGTTGTTTTGGGGGATTTATCATTGCCCAAGAAATCTCCGAACATATTCAAAATTTTTGAGAGCAGCATGTAAGATAGCAGATTGCAATGGACACCATTACAATATTGCTTTGCCGATTGATGTCAGAGCTTTAAAGAATAAATAAATAAATGTTCTATAGCTCGCTAGACCACTGGATTTTAATGAACAGTTTGCACAACACTTATAAATAGTTTATTATACTGCACATTATAGCTGTGACAACATGATATACAGTGTCAAAATGCTATTTCACTGTTTAATAGACTTACCCAGTATTTAAGGACGACATGTTTCTTGCAAAGTCATCGGGACTTTGAGGGAGGTTCTAACTACGTTTAATTAATGAATTAATTAATTTACTAAAGAAAAAGAAAAAAGAAGAGGTTTTGTTTTTCCCCTGCAAGTGCGTTTTCAGCGCAAGGTCATTTTGTGTTCACAGACTATTCGGTTTTAAAAAGCTGTTCTTTATCTCACATTATGAACGGCCTTGTAATTCCAATCCACACTAACAGTTGGCTTTTAAATGTTATTGTTTTAACTTTAATATTTCACAGTTAATACAGAGGATAAAGTAATTTAAAGAAAGTATATTGAAAGTATAGTAATTGATAAGATTTCATTTATCTATTTTGGTCCACTGTTCACTGATCTCGAATCTCAGTCTGGTGTTCAAACAGTTTTTCTTACGATACGTCGTGAGTTTATATCCACAACTGCATTTTGCTTTGTGGTAACAAATTGAAAGTCTGGCATTGTAATACGTGTATGGACATGCTTATAACAAAGCATGGTCCCTCTCCTCATGTAGTTGGTCAGTAACAGGTGTCTACCAACGCTTTTCTGTGGTCACTGGATCACATCGCATACCCTATCTCTCAGTCATGATACAGGGTTTATGCTTGCAAGGATATCCAGACCTTATCCACCTGGTATCCGCATAAATACTCCTATCGTTTAGAGGGGTTAATTACATAATAACCATTGAAGGTAATATGTTGGTTGTTCTTCCTATAGAGGAAAGACAGACTTGCCCAAAAGCTTTTTCATGGCTAGGACAAGCTCTTATAGAGAGAGATAATGTACTTCTGACTCCTGAAAAGGAATATTGGTGGTCACAATATGGGAAATACTGTAATTCATGTGTTTAGTAATCATAAGCATTTGCTTATTGCTACATTACTGATGTACTGTTTATTGAAAAATTAATATCTAACATACTTTTTGAATTATTATATATTGGAAGTGTGCCAACATCTCATGGTTATAAATATGTTTTTGTATGTGTTGATGCATGTACCAGGTTTACTTGGATATATCCTGTGCGAAGTGCAACCTCTGATGCCACGTTTTCTAGTCTCACTTCCTTAGTATGCATTTGATAATCCCAGGACCATCCATTTGAATGGTGGTCCTGCACTTACTGCAAAGGAAACCTAAAACTGGGCAACCACATTTGGGTTACTTTGGGATTTCAGTGCCCCAACCACCCCCAAAGAAGTGGGGTTGTGGCCTGGGAAAATGCTGAGGTTAAATGATTATTAACCAAGTTACTAGTTGCTTGCCCCACACAGTGGTATCTATGTATTCCTATGGTACAGATGAGCATTCACAACATACCTGATGATACAAATGGTGAGACACCATATGAAATGTTACATGTTTTTTTCACTGACAATTATATTTCTGCACCAGGGAGAGCTTAGAACCATTGGTTCTATTAGAGAAATTTAGGGAATTTTTTTTTCCAGCCCACCTCGCCTTGCACCACCAACTTTTTCTTACTGTTGGCCAGTTTGTCCTGGAGAGGGTGACTCAGATAACTTTTACTACAGAGAACAATCAGAGCCAACAGAGAACAGTAAGTTTTGATATTTTACGACCTGCTAAATACTTCCAGGACGTTCACAGAACCACTGACTGATACAATGGATGCTGTTAAAGATGACAAGATAAAACAAACAGAGGACGACAGAAATGCCACCAGAATCCTAGCCATGTAACAGACTGAATCATGATCTGACATCTGAACCTGCAAATGTGAAGGAGAAGGATGAACAGACAGACGTGATACATTCACAGTTAACATGGAATGTATGAAAAATGAATCATCAACATCATTATAAGAAAGACTCTGGAGAAAACAGACTGAACCTGAATTATCTTATACAGTAAGAAATTCAAAGATGGAAGCAAAAGGATGCTAGAAAATTGGTTATGGTGTCTCCTTCTTACAGTCTACAGCATTATCATAACATCAACCCTAGCTGTCGTTTTAAAACTGCATTAGGATTATGTTAACAAGCAGGACTATATAACACACTATACAAGTTCTTTGATCGTGTGGACTACCTCCAAGAACTATCTCAAAAGGAGAGACATAGCGCACAGTGAAATGATTGCCTACACTGGTATTTCACAAGGAACCTATTGAGATTATTCCAAAAACCGATTATACATGAGAAAGATGTGATTGGACAATTACAAATCCTAATAATGGAATCAACAATGATGGCAAAGCATGCTGAAAACAGAAAAAGACGGGAAAGATGCTTTGGATGCACCTATGAAGGTGATGCAAGAAAAGACTTTGCCATATAGTTTATCATTGAATGACTACCGCAAACAGCCTTCTTATGCTGAAAAGAAGTGCTATACTAATTCTGGACATTGCTATTATCCAAACAGACGATAACCGGAAAAAGAAATAAAGGCTGATAACTGTCAACACCCAGCTATTTCTTAAGATGGAACATGGTACTGAGAAAACCTGATTGACTATCAAAGCACCTCACAGTACAAGACACAGATTGTTGCCTACAACTCAGAAAAAGTGGTTAATAGGAAGGAGCAGAAGAAGAGGAATATAGATTTCCTACTGGAGTGAAAAACCATCCTGGAACAATATTCTGTAACAATGAACTTTACAATGACATTTGGTGGCAAATAAATTTGAATTAGAGAGAAACACATTAACTAAAGAAACCTTGATGCAATTAATAAATAAAAACAACACCGGCCTACTAAGAGCAGATGCCCTGCCAAGAGAATGGAATATAAAAGGCCAGCAAAACCTGTCAGAAACCTGACATCACGGGACACTTGTACTAAAGCACGATTTGCAGCTTTTCTTAAACTCTACATATTATGTACATACCTGCAAAGCAAGGAACTCCTGTAAACATAAACATAGAGACATTGATACAACAAGGAATCTGTAATGGTTCTGTTGCAGATGTGATCTACCGTCGTACTCCTTGCTCTTTTGGTATAACAATAACAATGAAAACGTTAAATGGCTCCATAGAATCAAACGACAAAGGATTCTTGCTATATTCTGGACTTCCAGGAATGTGGTGCATGGACCGAAAATTATAATTACTAAAGCAATCATGCTATTTTTTTCCCTGTATCAGAAATGTGTCAGTGACAATGTGTAATATAATACAGATACTATGATTAATGGTATAAGAAACACATAATGTGTTAATTACAAAGGTGGATAGACTTTGTGAATATCTGAAACGCAATTGAAGATTATTGCTAAAATGCCATATGCAGCTGCAGTCTGGCCTACAAACAAATATATTAAACATACGTAAGAGCATAACAGCTAATTACCAAGATGAATAATTGAATCATGATAGTTAAAGATCATATGATTGCAATAACAACTGCAATAATGAATGTTTTAACCTTAAAAGAAAATGTGAAATGTTTTTATTAAATCAGAAACTATTCTATATTCGTTTAAGTTTGCAGAGTGGTATAATTAATATAAGTGAAATACTTCAACAGTTAAAATTTAACTGAAAGACAGGCAGAAACTTTACTTCAACTATCATAAAGTTTATTTATAATGATAAACCTATTCAGTCTGCCAGAGCTAAGGCCAGTCAATGGAAAGTAAGAGAGAGTGTTATGGATTTACCCGTCCAGGTGATATACATGATGATTTTGGAAATTGATAAGTTAGGTCACCTATTGCAAATTGGTGAAAAGATGTCAAAGATATAAATTCAACATCCATACCACTCTATGTATATATATTAAAATACACGTAATCAAATATTTTATCAGTTTTTCAAATACAAAGAAAATGTTATTTGGTTTGTAATAGTTAAAGGTACATAAAACCACCTATACAAAGGTAGAGTTAAAATATAAATACATTCAATATTGTATCGGAGTGCTTTCTTAACTCACTTTTAGAAATAATAATAAAAATCCAAATCATCTTAAGCTACATCCAACAGCCACTGAAAAATATACTTAAACAATTAAGATTCACATTGTTAAGCATCCAATCTCACGAATGTAACTTTCCACAATGGCTGTCAGATCTTGGTTAAAAAAAAAATGTTTTCTAAGACAATATTTGGGGGTTTCTGGTATTTTAAGCCAATAATAACTAGGGAATAAGTTGTCTTCTCCCTAACAGGACAGAGAAAGATAATTAACGTCATATTTCCAATTAGCAACTATTCTAAATAGATTGAGAGATTTTGAATAAAGGAGTAATTTTTACATTTAAAGAGAATGTAATTTTACATACCATTGTGAACAAAGGCGGTAAATACTTTGCTGCTTCAAATTATTCTTTATATCTAAATCATATACAAGAGTGTTTATCTTTAAAACAAAACACTAGAAAGATTAACTATGTTACTATTTCATCTATCATTATTATACAAACTATAACAAATGTAAAGATTTTTCCACAGATTTTACCTGTTAACATTTTTAGCACAACAGCACCTGATGTCAGTGAGATGTCTATCACTGAGATGTTACAAAGATTCCAATACAGCAAAAAGAGGCGTTCTTGAGAATGCACTTCGATTGCTGTATCAACATAACATTTACTACAATGAGATCCATGTCACTTAAGACAATGTCTTGGAAATGCTGTCAATTAATTTATTCCGTAAAAGAATATCGGAGAGTATCCAATCTATACACATCATAAATGGTGTAAAAAATGTTTCATGAAAAAAACAAAATAAAAAAAGACAAAGACAAATACCAACGCCATCACCACGGTGATAACAGATGATGCTGATTCAATATCTGCAACCAATTCTATCCAAATACTTGGAAAGCTGGACTCTACAACCTATACTCTACAACAAATACCCGGGTATTCTAAAAACACAACCTCCAGCAATGTATCTAAAAAATGTAAACTTCTACAGGCATTTAAAGACTTTGAATTACAAATACAATTACTACTTTTAACTTTGGATTACAATTCGTATCCGGATCTATCCAAGAATATCTTACTCTGGAACCTGGTGTTCTTTTCAATTCTTTCCCAGACAAAAGCTTTGCTCATTTTAATCAACCACCTTTACATGCAAAGATCACACTACGGATATTTTACTGTTACAACAATGATCAAAGATGCTGGGAGCACAAAAAAACAAAAGACTGTTGGAGAACTTTGGTTCACTAATTTAAGGAAGAAATACGCTACAATGCCCACAGTTTAATGGAGAGGGTGTTATGGGCAAATGCAAATATTACAAGTTTTAGAATGAAATGTTGTATTTCTTAAACTGTGTACTTTGTCTTTAAGAGATATTGCAAACTGACAAGGTGTAAGAAATGGAACATATTGTTTCTCATAGATGTTTCTTTAAGCAATAACCTCAGTGCATAATATGTTTGCGCCATTTTGTCCCAGACGAATTACAATAACAATAATGCATAAACAAGCTTCAAGGCTATTCTACGACACTTGCAGTACACAATATACTGTGGTAACCCCAAGTTAATGGAACTTCCCCAAATCCGGGAATCTCCCGCGACTGTACACTTATGACTTGGTATAAACAACAGATAACCTATTCAGACTTTAAGATGCCATCTTGAACTAAGTCAGGAAAATTTCCATGACGTATACACCCTTTAGTTATGGCCTTGTATGTTTGCCAAAATAAGGGAGGTCCTAAATTGAATAAAGTAAAAGAAGTGTTACTTTTTCATATTTGAACTACTGTAACCTAAAATGGAGACACCTAAGGTCTAAATAGGTGTACTTTTAAATGTTAAGACACAGAGGAGAGACTTGGAGACAGACGCTGCTCCATCTTAAAATGACAGAGAGGCTGACATGATGACATGTTCAGAAGGGTATGTTAACCTAATAATGATATTTGCAAGCATGTAATTTAATCTTATAAACTCTGCTATAATGGATTTTATATTTTTATATAATAAATATCCAAAAGACAAAACGATTGCTTCCAAGAAAATCCTTATTTTATATTGTATTCTCAATTATTTACATATGTTAAATAGAGGATCTCTTACACTATATAAAATTATGGCTAAGATATCTGTATGGTTAGCCCTACTAAGTTCTATGCTTTAAGACATTATAGTGGTAAATAAGGGAACCACCAGCGGTTACAAAGTGGTTACTAAAAAACACTGGACATACCCCATTTGCAGTACCCTGGGCTGTCTACTTTTGCAAATGGTATGCCATCATGGGGGTAATTCTTATTCCTGGGCTACCATACGGTCTCAAAGGCAACGTAACCAATCTGGTGAATTTCAATGTGAAAAAAATGAAAAATTTAACACACTATTTGGCCCTGTAACTTCCCAAAACACCATAAAACCTGTACAGAGGGGGTACTGTTTTACACGTGAAATATCGCTGCTTTTGCAGTAAAAGCAAACAGTATTTTGATATTCACAGTTAAAATGTCACATAGCACTAAGAAAATTTTAAAAAAATCTTATTTTCTCCCATGTTTTTATATCTTATTCATAATAAATTATGTTCCATACCTAAATATTTGATGTTAAATGAAAGTCCTGTTTCCCCTGAATAAAATGATATATAAGAAGTGTGGGTGCATTTAATATGAAAGAGGTTGGACAGACATATAGCGCAAATGCCAGGTTTTGCTTTCATTTTGTTTTGATCACAATTTGTAAATTTGGCTGCGGTCTTAACGGGTTAAATGGGATATCTAATTTGTGGGATTTGTGCTTCTTTACTTTATTTCTTTTTTAAGACCAAAATCGTCAGATTCATTTTATTTTCCGTGGCCATAGGGTAAAGTAGGGGTGAGTGTCACTTACCTCCAATAGTTCCTCATTGCATCCTCCATATCAACGTTCAAGGTAGTTTTCTGCTTCTTGCGCTTCAGTTGCCCTAACCTTTGTCAATGCTTTACTTTGCACATGTTTATAGAGGATCACACAAATCACTCCATATGCCAGAATCTCACATTTGTTTTATGTGACAGCTGTTTTGATTTGACAAAATGCAACAGTGTATTTTCTCTAAAAGCAGAGACGTAACTAAAATCCGCGGGGACCAGGTGCGAAAATTGCCCACGATGTGTCTAATTTACCCCTTTTTTCTCTCCCCTCCTGTACCTGTTCGCTGCGGTACCTGTCTGACACAAGTGCTCTCTCTGTGAGAACTTTCTGACAGACCACATACAACAGTGGACAGGAAGGAGGCTGCACAGCACAGCTTTTCCCCTCCAGCAGGTCAGCATGCGACTGCGCGCCCTGGTTGATGCTGTAGTACACCGGCATTGAAGGTACCCCGGCACCAACCCTGGAGTGAATGGCCAGGACGCTGCTGCGACCTCCGTGTTAGTTACGCCACTGACTATAAGACAAATTAGTAATAACTTTTTCAACAATAAAAAATGTTAAATTCCTTTTAATAATGTAATTTTAGTTAGCTGAACTTCACCAGAGAAGACAAACTGACCATTTCCTGCAGAATGGACAGACGCCTTGTCCTGGGATCCTATTCAACCAGTATCTTCCCAGAAATCTACCCATACATCGTCTACACAAATAGAGCCAAGCAGAATTGGGAAAATGATTGGTGGAAATGTGGAAATTGTGATATGATGCCCACTGAAGAAGAATGCATCTGCTGCAGTGAAATTCCAAAAATTGTATAAATTATTGATGAAAATCAAAAATGTATATGTGAAGTAAAATATCTTAAAGAAAAATTAGTCTCTAGAGAACATTTCGTTTAACTATACAGATATGGATTGAGTTTTCAAAAAAAAAAAAAAAGTTTTGTTTCCCTTTCAAATGTACAGGAAAGGTGAGTTGAATTAATCATAGATATTTTTAAATCCAAGTGTTAAATTTAGTTTTTGGGGGGCAGAGCTTGCCAACCATCTTGACTAGACACCATTTTCACCTGCTCCTCAACAAACAATAAAATTTCAACAGATAGCTTCCTTCCTGTTGCCAATTTGACTACATAACGTACCTCACCTGAAATCAACAAGGACATTTGCATCCAGGCTCGGAAAGGAAAGGCAGCCCTGGAAAAATTCCCCATAATGCATTGAGCCAGCATAGTTTGCAGATATAGAAGCGGGAAAAAAAACTTAAAAATGAAAACTATCAATCAAACGTCAAAGAAAGCACTCATAGGGCTTCAAAATAAACAAAAGAGTGGATTTATTGTAAGCAGACTTAATTTGCATATAATCGATGTTTCAGTCCAACTACCTTGACATATTAAGAAAAGTTTGGTAATTGGACTGAAATTGTGAATGCACAACAGTAAAAAATTGTTATCTTGTTTATTTTGAAGTAATAAGAGTGTGCTCTTGGCTGGATGATCTCTGTCAACACCAATTTAATTCCCATAGGAAACAACTGGGAGGTTATTGCGCATGTATGGCAAAATGCTGCGCTTCACCGCACCAATCAGCATCTCCTCATGGAGATGCATTGCATCAATGCATCTCTATGAGGAACGTTCAGCACCTCCATGCAGAGCTTGGAGATGCTCAACATAGGTGCTGCACACTGCGCAGCACTGGACTAGGAAGCAGCTCTAGTGGCTGTCTGAGTAAATGCTACCTTTCTCTGAAAAGGTAGCATTTACAGTTCTTAGCCTACAGGGACAGGCTTTAGATACCAGAATCACTACACCAAATTAGACCTATAGCCCTCCATGTGTCCCTATAACCCCCAGCCCTTCATGTGGCCCTATATGCCCCCCAGCCTTTCATGTGGCCCTATATGCCCCCCCCCCCAGCCTTTCATGTGGCCCTATATGCCTTGGCACAAAAGCAGCCCAAGTGGATTCCTGGGCTTACTATAAGATGTCAATCCTAAGCCTCTTTGGTGTCGACTCAAGGAACGGTTCCTTTTCACTTATCTCATCACCTAGTAGTATGCCGACTATGGGTTAAAGATCTCAGAAAACACACAGCACAGCAGGAGGCAGAGATATCGGGGTCATGCTGCAGAAACCTGTGAAACCTTGGGTAGGGGTTCACACTCTTGAAGCCTAATACCTAAGCTTGTTTTGCAACCCACACCTTCGCAGGCTCGGCCTAACTTACACCGAGTTACTCTCGCACATTATGCTTACCGAAATCATAGTTTGTACCCTCATGATGATATGATCATTTATGCAGTTTCATAACCTGTCTATACTTACAACTTTAGAAGGCCAATCCCAGCAAAACTCTCTCGGATCTATTGGGTGACAGCGCTACTTGATGCTCTTAATACGTTGTTCTATGTTCTTTTAACTACTATCTTTTTACAAACAAATGGTGCATCACCCCTATACTGCATTTACTACTGATGTTCTTAAATCAAACCTTGCATTTATGAATATCATACATTGTGAAAATAATGATTTTCATAAAAAAAAATATATATTTTTTATGCCTATTGTTAAAATCAATTGATTTCATATTTTTGTGACCACAGGAAGACAGTATGTAGAGCAATTACAATGTGGATATATGGCTATCTCGGCCCAAGGAAAAGAAGAGTTATATCATCTTGCATTGAACATTTTATAAGACATTTTCCATCACCAGACAAAATGTACATGGGTTTTTTAAGTGCTAAATCAGATCCAAATGCAGTTGATTTCTTGCTAAATATTTAAATTATAATGTAAATGCATTTTTACATATTACATATATTTAGTATTTTAGATCATTTATGTAATATATATTTATTTTAAATACCTTGTTGCTGATTGATTACTGTTAATGTTACATTTTATTTAAGTTGAAAAAAAAATGTCTTATTAGATTTTCTCCTTATGTATTTTTAGTAATGAAAAATTATTTTTCCCTTTTTTTTATTTTGTTAAAATAAAGGAAAGCATTATTATTTATGAACAATTTAAGTATTTGATTTTTAATCTGTACCATTGTATCCTATGTTCAAATTACGATGAATAAGTTCTGCATTTGATATTTGTCTGTGAAAGCTGAATTTTACGTAAAAACAAAGACCAGAATAATATCATTTAAAAACCTTACTTTATTATGACCATTTTTTATTTTATAGAAACATTGAATTATTTATTGTAAATACATATTCAATAAATTAATTATATACACACACAATACATTTAGAAATAACTATATACTGAATGAATACTGGAATACATATTCTTTTAAAAAATAAATTATAAATATTCAATAAATATGTTATATACACAATAAATATTTGTATAAATATATATTTTTAAAGTAAATAAAAAATGTATTAAAAATGTTCAATAAAGTATATACACAATAAACATTGGAATAAATGTGTTTTGAATAAATCAAAAATTTAATTTATTATAAATATTCAATAAATTAGGTATATACACAATAATTTAAACATAAATT